CCAAATTAGACCTAAAGCTAAAAATTTTATATTGTCTCTCCTTAATTCAATGTAGGAAAACATGAAGACAAGCTCAATATGTCCAAGCTCAACATCAAGTGTGAGAGGGAGAGGGGGATAATGAGGGGGGCAATGATTTGAGACTTGCCTTCGTGATGAAACCCTAGCCCGAAATTCTAGGCAAATTGCACAAATTCACCTTTTTCTAGTTTTAATTGAGTCAATGTGCTTCCCAAATTAACATCTCAAGTTCTAGAGCTCTTTACGACATGGTAACTCTGGAGAAGATGAGGAATTACGCCTTGTTTAGTACGTGGGAATGAGTGGAATGGAACACAATTCCAACTTCTCTTTCATGCTTACCAAACATGATGTGTTTTTAGATGCTAGAAATGTCATTCCTACTCCTCATCAATTCACACGTAATGTGGGAATTGCTATTCTTAATGAGTTATCGAGGAATTGATATTCCCACTTAAGTGAGAATGAAAATAAAAAAATAAATTTCTGGTATACTCTTCTTAAAGGTATTTCCACTTAATTCTCTAATTGCACCCAAACATGAGAATGAGAATGGACATTCTATTTCCTCATTAATTCAATTCCGCCTTCATTCCATTCTTAGTTGACTCTATTCTCGCGTACCAAACAAAGTGTTAGGATTTTTACCATTGACTAAACTGCAAGTAACCTCATTTATACATTCAGAGCATGGGAGGATTTTCGTCTTTGTGAGAAATATACAACGGTGTTAGTATTTTTTAACAAAAAATACTATAGGTCATTTAATTGCAATGTTTTACAAGTGGGGTCATTTAAGTGAAAAAATGGGAAATAATAAGCCATTTTAGTGCAATTAACCCTATAATAATTAACTTTAGTTTTTATGCTAATTTTATATTGCTATTAGAATAATAAGATGAATCAACTTCGTTCATATGATTCTACTTTAACGATTCAAGAGAAAGGATCCTATGTTTTAAATCCAGTAGCATATTATTAGTAAAAGACCTTTTTGATTTTCGGCATAAATTCAAACACGCAATATCTTAATTAATTTTATAAATCACTAAGTACCCTAGCAAGACTATAAATTTTATTAACATCAAAGTGTAAAATGACATCCCTAGGTCTAATTAGCATCATTTATCGTAATCAACAAATTGGGAGATTAGTATTTATGTACAATTACTATGGACGAGATAGTGGAAGGAAAACCAATAATGGAGCTGCACCCAATAATGTTGTTCAATATTAGATTAAATGTAGCTGCTACACTTACACATTTTAAGGCCACAAGACCATAAAAGAGGCTAAATATTAGAAAAGCCCTTATTAACTTTCACCTGATAGTGCCTCATAACTTTCAAAATATCAGAAGCCCCCCCTCTAAGTTTAGGCGTTATCATAAAATCCCTTTTAGCTTTAAGGTTTCATTAGAAAATCCCCCAAACAATGTTAAACACAAATTTTCACATGGGTGGGTAAAATTACGCAGGAAGATATTTTTTCCAATGAAAATTGTGCTACATATTTTTAGTTGAATTTTCTAAGAAAATTGTAAATTTAATGCCGTTTTTTTATAACACTTAAACTTGAAGGGGGGTTTTCTAATATCTTGAAAGTAATGAGGAGTTACCTGATAATCGCACAAAGTTTTCTTTTGTTGCCGGCAAGGTAGGGGAGGGTGTTTCTGATATTTAGCTAAAAAACAGTAAACTCCTTTTGGAGGGTTTTGCACATAACCCTTTCCACTTTGTTTATTTCATTGAAACCCCTTTAACTTGTCTCACTTATCCCCTGCAAATTAACACTGAATTTTTAGGACTTGTTTGTTTTCATGCATTTGGTGAATTATGCATTAAAAATAGGACCCACAAGTTTAAAATCATAGATTATTTTATCAAATACATTGCTTGTTTGATATTTTTCATGCCACAAATTTGGGGTTGCCACGTAGGATAGATGCATCTAATATAATTCCCTAAAATTATGTCGATTTTGCCCGAATTTGTCATTTTACTTGCGCATTCTCAACAAAACTCATGTGCAACCAAACAAAGTTTGTTTGGACTTTATTTCTCATGCAAATACCCTTTATTCCTTTAATTCTTATTGAAAACAAACAAGCTTTTGAATATAGATTTTTCTAAATCCTTTACCTCCATTAACCAAACTACCCCTTAATAGGTCACGTGAAAGTACAAAAACAGTACTATTATGTGTAGCTCAATATACTGTTATGTGTGACTCAAGACATAGACTTGACCCTGAACTCGGTGCGTCTTTAGCTTTGTCATGTTTCGGCCGAGATCTACAGTCCTTGGTTGCATAGGATATCTAATTGTATAGTGTGAAGTTAAGGACAATGTAATGGATTGAATTTCTAATTGAATTGGTTATCCAACTTGTGCTAGAATTAGTTACTAGCAAACTCTAAGCATTAGCATCTATATGGAAACTCTTTGATTAGGCAACAAACTTGAACTCAACAAGAGGCAATAGCAAGCATAATTCTGTAGACTACAACGCCAAGAGAAGAATAAAGAGTTTTTGTTGGGAAATAGCCTTGTATTTCAGGAAATTCTAGTTGGACTTGGATTGAAGATTGAATTTGATTGGAAAAAATCAATTATAATTGGAATTAAATTCTGACTGGAATAGGATTATAGTTGATAATCCAAGTCAAAGAACGAGCTCTCCATGATATCAAGAGAGAGAAGCTCTTTAAATACTCCTTGAGAGGTTCATTGTAAATCAAGCCATAGAAAAGCCAAGGATAGTTGCATATTGTAAAAGAGAGGTAGAGAGAACTAACGAGAGAAATCTAGGATTTTGAGATATCATTTGGTGAGATAGGAAGAGTTTCTTGTGGAATCTTTAAAGATCACAGAACGATTATGTAATAAAAGAAGGCTCAAATCTCTCTCTCTGTGGACGTAGGCGGTTGCCGAACTACGTAAATCCCGTGTCTTTGTCTCTTGATCTATTTTCTGCAGTTATATTACTGTCCATTTGTTCGAACAAAATCTCTCAGGGTTTGCTATGTCGCTTGGTGATTGATTGGTCTACGAAAAAGGAGATCTAGTTGACGGTTTCAGTGACGCTTCCGCAGTCAACATTGGCTATTTCCCAACAGTTCTTTGTGAAAGGCTGTAATTTATTTGGCTCTCTATTTTGTTTTTTTCAAAAGGTTTTAGAGAGATTGTTTGAAAGGTTGTATTGGGTTCATTAGGGGTGTATTTGGAATTGGCAGGGTTCTAAAAAACGGTTTACTTGCCCGCATATGCGGGTGAGTATGCAGAATCGGCCCATTTCCGCTTGGAAATTGGCTGATTCGGTCAAATATGCAGCCAACCGCATAATTTCGACAAAAATGCATACTCACCCGCAGAAAAAGAGTATGCGGGCGAGTTTTAAACTGGGTATTAATGGGTTTCGGGTCCAAAAAACTGAACCCGCAAATATTTTAAACCCAATTTTGAAAACAAAACCCAAAGTGAACCCTTGCATAAGGTTTTTTCTCTCTGTCCGTCTCCCCGTTCCCCCCCTCTCTCTCTCTTTCTCGCCCGCATCTAATCGTCTCCCTCTCTCCCATCTTCGGCGACAGCAAGCGGCAACAGCAACAACACGTAGTAGCAGTAGCAGTAGGCGGCGGCGGAAGCAACATGTGGCAGCAACAGTGGATAATGGATGCATTGGATTGAGTGTTTAATTAGTTACTTAATTATTGATTAGTCAGTCACATGTTTATTTGCATTTTTATTAGTATATCTTCCATCTTTTATGAATTATATACATTATTATGTATGAAAAATAATAAATATATGTTAAAAAAATTAAAAACGCATAATTCCACATAATCCAATTAATCGATGCATAATCCGATTAATCATGACTCGCTCTCGAACCGCACGAATAATAAAATCGTGTTTTTGAACATTGGGAATTGGTGATTGAGAGATCTCCATATTGTATTCCTCACAATTTGATAGTAAAGTTATTCTCCTACTTCTCCTATGGATATAGGCTACAACCTAAACCATGTATATCTGTTTGTACTGTGACTGTGCTTTTCATACGATTGATATTTGTTTATCCACGAGATTTGTCATAATAAATTGGTATCAGATCAGCTATTGATAGTAAAGTTATTCTCCTACTTCGCCTAACATAGGCTACAACCCGAACCATGTATATCTGTTTGTATTGTGACTGTGCTTTTCATGCGATTGATATTTGTTTATCCACGGAATTTGTCATAATAAATTGGTATCAGATCAGCTATTGATGCCATGCTTTTGGGATTTTCTAGATGAATACATCTCTGTTCAAATCCATTTTGGCTTTTAGATTATTGTACTTTAGGATATTCATGGAACTTGGCCTAGATTTTACTTTGATCTTGATGTTCAGGTAACCTCTTGTAATTTGTATTATATGATCTAATATAGTTTAACTTAGCATCTTAAGCTTACATTCAAAGATTCAGATGTTGGGAGTCTCATTATTAGTTGTGAGATTTGAGGTTGCACATTAAATATCTTAATGAGTTTTGGAAAACACAACTTCCTAGGTTTTGTATTCCTAATTAGCTTCATTACAGCATCTAATATCCACCTTAGAGGACCAGAATTTGTATTCTCTACTCACTTATATTAGCTTATGAAATGATGTTGAAATGGCAATTAAACATCATTCTAACAGTTCTACATGAAAAATATTTTGTGTCAAGTACTGAGATTACATTCTTTTTATTTGGAAAAAGTTCCAACAAAATATACTTGATGCCATAGTGGGGTTACATGGGTTAGTTTTGTGCTGAGTACGACTACAATAGCAATGCCTTTATCCCAAACTTTTGGGATCAGCTAGATGAATCCACCTATGTTAATATTCATCTTCTCTTTTAAATTGTTGTAGTAGTTGGAAACAAATGAAATCAGCTTGGATCTTGTTTTGATACTCTTTTTCTTCTTTTTTGTTGTCGATGGGTCCAGGCGTCCTAATGAAGCTTTGCTTTCAATCAACTGTTTCCAAAAGGATCTATCAGACACAAACCCGTTAGTGCGTGCATATGCCTTGCGTGCTATGGCAGGCATCCGTTTACATGTAGTGGCTCCTCTTGTTCTAGCTGCCATTGGGAAGTGTGCCAGAGATCCATCTCCATATGTTAGAAAATGTGCTGCTCATGCACTTACCAAGTTAGATGACTTACACCTAGAAGAAAATACTTCTGCACTCGAGGAGGTTGGTTGGCATCCTTCCTTTATTGTCATATATATTTCTTTTTAAATAAATAATCGTTAACTAGACATATGATGTACAGCTTGTTGGATTCATGTTAAGTGACAATTCTCCCGCAGTTGTTGGAGCTGCTGCCATCGCCTTTAAATCTGTCTGTCCAAGCAATCTAGCACTGATAGGAAAAAACTTTAGAAAGTTGTGTGAGACCCTTCCAGATGTTGAAGAATGGGGTCAGATAGTCTTGATTGAAATTCTTTTACGATATGTTGTAGCTAAGCATGGATTAGTCAGAGAGTCCATTATGTGCAACTCTCAGCTTGAGAAGGATTCTGGTGATGTATCTCACATGTTTGAAAGTAATGATAACAGTACTGGTGGTTCTAGAGAGAGTGATGGGGGTGATGCCGAGTACAAGCTAAATCTGTTAATGTACAGATCCTATATTGATGGACATGAAGAGCTTTTATCAGAGTCTTGTAACATAAATGGTGACGATGGGCTGCTGAACTGCGGACAGACTTCTAGCCAAAATGATGATGTGAGGATTTTAGTGAGATGCACATCACCTCTTCTTTGGAGTCAGAATAGCGCGGTTGTACTCGCAGCTTCTGGGGTGCACTGGATTATGGCTGCAAGGGAGGAAGTCAGTAAGATTGTTAAGCCACTTCTGTTTGTTCTAAGGTCATCTCAGGCCTCAAGATATGTGGTAAGTTGCCTGTAGTATATGTTAATACTAAAGCATCATTGCAATTAGATTTAAGAATGTGGAGAACTTGATGTTTGTTCTACGAAATGATTGGTTTTAATAACTACTAAAATCCTACATATGAGCGACCTATTTATGAAATGGATTATAGTTATGTTTTTATGGCGGCTAGAATTCTTTGAATCATGTTATGTTTTTTTTTTTAATCTTTGGTTGAGGGACATGCGATGAATGACTGAATAAGCTAGTGGGTTTGACTCATGGTAAGTTGATCAATTTATGTATAGGACTAGAATATACTCAAACTTGTGGATTCCTTGCTATCCTAATTGTATAGTTTTTCATTTTTCCATGATACTTTTCCAAGATTTGAACAAATTTCAGATTAACAATGGCATAAAAATTTGTTAGACATGGGTTTCCAAAGACATTCAATCTTTGTATGTGTGTGTGACTCTCATACCATTTGAAAATACTGTGATCTTTTGTTATCTAACTGTTCCATTGTACTTTTATTAATTTGTTTAAGAAAGAGCAGGATTCATGTATTTGGGATGAAGCCTTTGTTGTTGTTTCAGTTAGTGGCTTAGCTATTAAAGGAAACGGTTTAGACTGACTAATTCTCCTTTGACTTGCTAGGTGCTTTGTAACATACAGATGTTCGCTAAGGCAATTCCTTCACTTTTTGCTCCTTATTTTGAAGATTTCTTCGTTTTTAGCTCTGATTCATATCAGATGAGAGCTTTAAAGCTTGATATACTATCTACCATTGTCACAGAAGTTTCTGTTCGGGCCATTTTTGATGAATTCCAGGTGCCTACTAGCTCCTTTATCTTGTTGTGCTGCTTTCTAATTTACGAGCAACTTTATATTTTAAGTTCCATGAGTTTTATGTTCACCAATATTATGCTATTGAGTAGCTTATTCAAAATTTTAAAGGATTTGTTGGAGGAAGTTGTTATTTACAGTTGTTCATTTTACTGCCTAGTTTATAACACAATCCTATTTGCTGCATCACTTATAAAAAAACAAAGTCATCAGATTGATTTTTCTGTAATGTAACGGAGAGAATTATATGCCTGACATTGAAATGCAAAAGGTCCACTAGCAGGTTATTAATATATCTTTGACTACTCTGATATTATGGAAGATCTAATGGCGAAATAAAAATAAAATATGAAAGTTATCATGTGTTATGCACTGAATTGCGATCTGTTGCATTGCCATTTGGTGAGAGTTTTATGCCTGACATGAAAATGCAAGCCACTAGCATGTTATAAATAATATTGCTCATCACACTGATATCGTGTAAGACTATGCATTAAACAGTAATTTGTTGCATTTTTAAGTTTGGTGAGACTTCATTTTAGTATAAAATGGTGCGAAAAAAGCCTCCTTGAATAACTCTACAAAGCCCTAAGAAATGCTAAAGAAAAAGAAGATACAGTGTATAATATCATAGGGATACTTTAAGCCTGCCAAATCGTTGTTTTCGAAATATCGGACATGCATCCATACCCTTACAAATCTCTAAGCCTTTTCTCACATCTAGATTGGTATAAACTGTTATATTATGCATCTTTTTGCGATATGTAATTGTCTTTAAATTGTTTACCATTGGTCGGTCTCTTTTGTATTGTGAATATACACACACACACACACACACGGCACACCCCCACAGACACATATATATATAACTATATATATTTATATATAATACTATAGTATATTAATATATACAATATATAGCAACACCACACACATCTACACAACCATCCACACACCAACATTAATAATATAATATATATATATATAAGTATATATATATATATATATAATATATATATTACTATAGATAGAGAAGAGAGAGATGAGAGAGCAGAGAGATGAGAGGAGATTGAGGGTTTCTCCCGCTGTCATTAGGAGGAGATTACCTCGTTGTCGCCTATGTGACATCGCCCACCATCCTCTAAAGTTAGGCAAAATCGCCACCATCACACACCTCTCTTACTTTAATGGTTGTTGGGATTGGTCACCATTAGGGGTCATGAGGATCCCATCTATGACAAGGTACCTATTAATCTAATATTACTTTTTTTTTATATATATTAATATTATATATACTATATATATGAGCAATTAATGGCTATCCTTACAAGAGGAGGATTCCTCCCTTGACAATGAGTGTGGAACAATCCCCACCATCTGATAAAATTTCTTTTTTATTTCTCTATCTTTCTACACATGGTGTGGAGACTGTGCGACTCATTAATCAAGGAGGCAAATTCCCGGCTCCTTCGTCAAAGTTTTTTTTAATTCTCTCTCTCTCTATTTTCTCTCTAGTATTTTTTTCTTTTATATATATTATATATACTATATATTATATATATATAGTATATAGTATATTTTTTCTATATATAATATATTATATTTATTATATATATAATATATGAGATATATTGGGTATGCTTGGTACCAAGCACCAATTTTGTGTTGGTAGTGATGTGTCACATCCCCCCCATCCACTCACTACCTGATTTAATTTGTTGCCCACATTTGAATGAGGTGGAGGGAGATTCGACACCGCTCATCAGCCAAGGCACAATTTTTTTCGTGCTTTTCGTTGTGTGGTACCAAGCATACCCATCTCTATCTCTCTCTCGTCTCTTAGTATATATATATATTATTATATATATACTATATATATATTAAATATATATATATATATATATATAATTATATGATATCTATTTTGTGTTCTTGTTCCTAGATTTTGGAATGTGGTGTTCAACACCATCCCTAGATATTTGGGATAAAGGCTTTGATATTGTTGTTGTTGTGGTGCTTAACACCATATACCATTTCGAAGTACAGTAGACATATCCATATCTACGATCTTAGAAAAGAAGACATTAGTTCCTTTTAAGTATATTTTGAATCACACCATGCATTCTTGCCAGTCCTAGCATTTGTAGCATTGCTGAACTATTTAATAACCATGATACAGTTGACTTTTGTTCTTTGGTAAATAGTGGGGACTGCAACTCTCTTCATGCTTATGTCGCAAAAAAGATTGTCAGGATCAACCTTAATCTAATGTATATTGTTAATTTTTCATTTGAATCATAGTTTGACAAAAAATGGGTTATTATACAGCTACTTTTTTTTTCCTTTTTTGGTTGCCACTTTGAGCTTTCATCTTCAGTTTTTCACTGGTTTTAGTGTTTGGTTACTTTGATAGACTGAAAGCAGGCAACTTCTAAAGCCAAATTCAGCTTAGAGTTGGTTAATTTAGAGGGGTTTTTGTTTATGAACCCAAAGTTTTGCCCTGATTTATTTTAAACCCACAAACTTTCAGATTGACCTTTAAACCCAAATACACGAACTCATTTATATTTTAAACCTAAAATGTGTATTTTACTCAATTTATACAATGTATTTCCTAAAAACTAAACTAAATCCCTACACTGCCCCCATTCATGTTCTTCTTCAACCTAAATCCCCAAATCCATCCACCACCTCTGTAGCCATCTGACCCAACCACCTCCGACTATCCCTGCTGCTACCTACCACCTCCTTCTAAGTTTAACCCCTTCGCCCATCTCATTTTATTGTTTTTGTTTTAGTATATTGAGTGTGTAACACAAAACCAATAAAGATACAAAAAAAGATTGGTCCTTTGATTGAACAGATTGTTAGTTGGACCATTGACATGGCAAGGGAGTTGTTTAGAAGTCAATTGGGCAGGTTCAATCCGACGGCGAGAGAAGAGCAGAGGATGCGGGGATGCCAAGGTTGAGAGACGTGTTCCATTTCGCATCCAACCTGACGGTGGAGGGAGACTGCTATTCCTTTTCTACCGCCATTAGAGAGCTTGAGAGAACAGAAATTTGGCAATTTTGCTCTTTTTCGTCTTTCTTCTTTTATCCTTTGTTCTCTGATAACTTTTCGTTTAAGCTCCTCAATGTTTTAATAGTTTGAGAGTATCTAACTGTGACTGTTGGTGATCATTGGAGATGATGTAGATATATTTGGGGGCGGTCAGTGATCGTTGGAGGGAGGAGGGGGCAGCTGCAGCGGATGCTCGGAGGTGGGTGAGTCAGATGGCTGCAGAGGGTGTGGATGGATTTGGGGATTTAGGTTAAAGAAGAAGATGAATGGGGATAGCTTAGGGATTTAGTTTATTTTTTAGGAAATACATTGTATAAAATGAGTGAAATACACATCTTGGGTTTAAACATAAACGAGCTTTGTGAATTTGTGTTTAAAGACCACTTTGAAATTCAGTGGGTTTAAAAATAAATCTGGGTAAAACTTTGGGTTCATAAGCAATAATTTAAAAGGCATTCAGGGTGGCTTTTAAGAGCAACTACATCTTATTAGATGTATTTTCACGACATACCTTTCGTATTTTTTCAATATTACAAGAGTTCCACCTCCTATAAACTTGAGGGGTTAGGGCATTGTCCACCAAGTTTCTTTCCTTTGAACTTGCTTTGAGATGCACTTGATGTGTGTCACACATCCGCACGCATCTCAAAGCAAATTAAGGGATAAAAAAGTTGGTGAAGAAAGCCCTCAGGCCAATAAGTTTACATGAATTTTTCGCTTATTACAAACCTTATAAAAGAACATGTCTATTTTGGGTTTTCAACAACTTTAGTAGCTTCTTACTGCTTTGCCAAACACTTGCTGTTTTAACAGAAACTTTTTACAGTTGACTTCCACAGATATTGCAGCAATACCAAACCAAGCTACATCAAAATTTATCCATTGTATCTCATACTGTTTGCTTAGAATATTATGTATTTATCTTTGTATCCATGATCAGTATGCCTCTGGTACAAAAACCAAGTCTTCTTCAGCGTGAAAATTTTGATATCTTTGAGTTGTTGACTTTCCTTGCACATGTGCTTGAGGGACTGAATTCACTTTTCTAGTTCTGTTGCTAGGATTACATCAGAGACCCAGACAGGAGATTTGTTGCTGATACAGTTGCTGCAATCGGGTTATGTGCCCAAAAATTGCCTTCTGTGGCTAACGTATGTCTGGAAGGGCTCTTGACTCTGACAGTGCAAGGTTATTTACTGCATCTTGAATGGCATCCTCCTCCTTTCAACTCCATTCTCCTCCTTATTCACTGTTTGTTCTTTCTTGGTAGCAAGTTTTGTATTGAATATCACCTACCAATTTTTCAGGCCAGATAAATGGGGAAACGGAGGTTTTGGTTCAGGCACTCATGTCAATCAAAGCTATTATAAAGCAGAATCCGGTTTGTCATGAGAAAGTAACTATTCTTTCCTGCTTTCTTAAATGTATTTCTGCCATCTCTAATGTAGATATTGTTGATGTTTGGCTAGTAAACTCAATTGCAGTGAACATATGAGAAACAAGAGCGAGGTCTAGTTTTGGATATGATCAATATGATCTCGTTCTTTCAAGCATTGGCATGTCCATGTTGAATGCTTCAGAAAATATTGTTGAAACTGAAGCAATCAATTGTTAGGAGGCATAATAGAACCTGGGCAAGCCATTGATTTATTTAGGATGAGGATTGGAGTCTTCAAATGAACCCCAGCCACCAATGTTCGTTTCAGCATACGGTTGTTAGTTGTTGCATAGACAAAGTTTTAACACTCCCAACTCTAAGAGAACTATAACAAGTATGAAATACATTCACGTCAAAGTTAAACTCCGCCAAAGCATTAGTACCAACGACTGAGCAACCCATTAATATGTTATCTACATATTCAATACTACTTTGTGCCTCGATATCTTCTGATGTTTTCATTTTCATGATTACTAATTTCCAGCGGTATAAAGACCATCATTTATAGTAGAAGAATATATTCTAATATATCAACAATCATTTATAGTAGAAGAATCTAGTCTAATATATCATTATTTGGTCTAAATGTATTAGCTTTCCTGTGAAACCTTGTTTCCTTGGTAAATTTTCATTCTTCACTTTCATATATTGAAATGTTAAAATGTTTTTTGAATAAACTGTATTTTGTTTGTTTTCCTTGTTCAGAAGGAGCTTTGTATACACTTTATTCTTAAATTGAAAATATTTTTTTGTAGGAAGTATAAAATGCTCTGTTTGCTATAAGCAATTTGAATATCGGGTACTTGATATCTTGTGATATTGTTCCCATTGTCCTGAATACAAATTTGATGTTATTTCTTATGTCCTTATCGGAAATTGTGAGAAATTTTGGGATACCAGATGATCCGTAATTGATACATCTAGTCTACCATGTATGGATTTTAAGTGGTGATGTATAATAAGTTAGAATTCATTTGTACAACATGTAACTGACTTTCTTGGAATATTATGAATGTATCTATAGGATAATGCTAGTCGACAGTGCTTGAAAGATTTATTTTATTCACTAATTCATCTTGACAAAGATATGTGTCTGTACAACTAATACTGTATATAATCTCTCTCTAAAAATTTTGCTTTCAGAATTTGATTGCCTTTATTCAAATTCGAACAGCTTTTTTTTTCTTTTCCTCGTTAGATATTACAATATTAAAAGGCCTTTTAATGATGTCTATCAAAAACAATATTGCATGTCTGGGAAAGTTTCCATATATGTTATACCTGCGAGATGTCTATGACAAATGATAACTTAAAGCTATGCAAAGTAGCTTAAAATAGAATGTGTGTGCATTGACAATGTCAGGGTATTTTCTGTAGGCCAGCATATGTTTAACATGCATGCTTAGTGTTGGCATGTAATGCATATGGTTGCCAAGCAATTTAAAGCTTGGCATGCCATGCATACGTGCCACCAATTTATCTTTGTTTGATACACACATTCTTTAGAGAACAGTTCATTTATTGTATACTGCAGGACTTGATATTTGCAGGATGCTCCACCATGTAGAGGGCTGAATTTTGTCTTACAACAAGACGGAAAGTAGTTCCTTTTCCATCCTTACCTAACTATACCCACTCTGAAAATATTACCAAGAATTATCAATCAGGGACATCCTCCTCATTTCAGGCCTGCCTTTTTCGTGCTTCCCCCACTTTGAACTTTCGAACATGGAAACATCAGAATATATTGAGAGAAGAGTTCTGAACTTTCCACACTGAGACCTCATGATTCAAGGCTGAACTATTTTGCCCCTTATATGCCCAGCAATCAAGAAGAGGCAAAATTGATTAGTTCCTCCATGATCATTAAGTTCTTCCAGTTGCTAGACTACATAAGGGGCTGGCCAGTTCCTTGGCATTATCTGCTTCTAGTCACTTGTGGCATACTGTTATTCCTTTGGTTAATTTAATGGTGCCATTTCTGGTCAATGTTTCATTTAGACTCAAAAAGTAAAGGTCGGAGCAAAAGAAGTCTCAATAGCATTGAAATACATAGATTCTCCGTCACCTGGTTGGTATATTAGAAGTTGTGTTGAACATAGAATATAAGCTTAGACGCAAATTAACAAAAATATTAATATTTATCTTACTAAACAAAGGACTTGAGTAATTTGTTCCCAAACTGATCTAAATATTTGACTATTTTTGCATAATTAGGGTTTCTTTTTAGGATATATTTTACTTTAAGCACTGAAGTTGTTTTTCAGTTTACAAAGTGGTACTATGATGTATTTCCTTAATGATATTTTTCTGACCTTTATTTGATTTTGTTTTGTAAAAGACAATTGTCCAGTTAGTACGCAATTTGGACATAATCAATGAACCTGCAGCTCGTGCATTGATTGTTTGGATTATGGGAGAGTACTGTTCCATTGGCCAGATTATTCCCAAAGTTATACCCACTTTACTTCAGTATCTTGCACATTGCTTCACTTCGGAGGAGCTTGATACAAAACATCAGATTCTAAATACTACTGCTAAGGTGTTCTTTCTGCTTTGAATTTATATTCCCTATATGCAATATAACTTTTTTTTCTCTTCAGATACTTATCTTTGCTTGTACTGAAGTGTGCTCATTTGATGTTTGAAGCTTTTGGATGGAATCTGTTTTTTCAGAAACATGCTTAGAAACTGTGTGCTTTTCAGTGTTGAAATTTGAATTGTTATTTGGATGCGTTGACCCTTCTACTTGGGCAAATTGGTTTTTCTCCTATGAACTATTCTTTTACATGCATTCATTTGAAGAAAATTCTACTCCACATCAAAGCAGAATGAAGAAAGAAGTAAGAGTGTTTGCTTAGAAGTACTAGTGG